TGACTCCAACTAACAAATTGAGCAGTAGTGGAAAGGCTACCATAAATGCCCTTCCCTGATAATGAGATTAACAACTAACTTATCCACCATCACGGAGCCCTCATCTAGTACCTGTTGGAAACAGAGGCAAACTCCCATAACTAAACAATGAGTTGAACTAGAATCCAAATGCAGAGAAAGAGGACAAGACCAGGTTGCAGAAAAACATAGAGACAGCTGACCTGAACAAGAAGGAGCTAACTGGCCACCAATGATAGCTGGGAATCCAGTATGGGACTGACTCAGGCCCCTTGTCAGCTAGAAGGACTGAGCAGTCTAAGGGACCTCAGACAGTGAAACCAGGATATATTCCTGGTGCACAAAAGGACCTTGCAGACACATCCCCCATGGAGGGATACTCCCTTAACCTAGAGACAGGAGAGTAGTTCTAGTCTCTACTTCAAATGACTTGTCAAATTTACATGACCCCACCTGGATGGCATTGCCCTACATGTGGAGGGGGGGGGGATGGGATGGGATGGGAGGGTGGTCAGGGTGCATGTGGGGGGGAGTGAGGGAGAGGGAACTGGGATTGACATGTAAAACAAAAAATAAATAAATTTTTAGAAATTAAAAAAATTTATTTGGAAAGAAGGAGCTAGATAAATAGAGTCTTTGTGTACAGTGATGATAACTGAGCCACAAAGGGGAAAATGGAAGGGCTTGAAGTATGCTTGGAAGCTACAATGACAAGGTTATACAGCGGGACCATGTGGACATGGAGCAAAGTGAAGATTTAAGGATAGTTCTTGGGTTTGATATTTAGATCAAACAAATTGTGTGGCAGCCATTGCCATCCAGAAGGGGACTGGAGGATCTAAGTTTTGTTGAGATCATGTCACACCAGAGATCCTCACTAGGCATAGGGTGGATTGGATGTGCTAGCTTGTAGTTTGGAGAAGAATCAGCACTTTGGGCTGTGAAGGAGATTTGCTGGGATTATCTGAGAAGAAAGGAAGTGGGGAGATTTGGAAGTATTTGCAGGGTGAATACCAGGGGTGGATGTCTTCAGACTTGCAGCCTGGGATTAGCAGTCTGCTGATCCCATGAAAGGGAGGGCCAGGAAGCCAGCTGGCCTGGGCTGAGAAGGAAAGTTAATCAGATGTGAGGAAATGGATGTGGTTTTCCAAGGCTTATTACTAGTGGGTGAGAGCCTGGTGTCTGCAGCAAACAGGAGCGCTTTCCTAAGGCAGTCATCCAGAGGGGTCTGTGCTTGTCGCAGTAGAATGTTCCAAGAGCAGCCACTGAAACTTCTCTAGCAGTTCAACATGGCTCCACAGTTCAAGGTGCTCTAGAATGAACAAGATCCCAAATGAAGGAGCAAGTAGAGAGTCAGGGGAGACCATAGAGAGCAGACCTGCAGGTAAGTACACCATTGGGGTACAGGGCATCTCCCAAGGCCTCCTAGATAGAAGCAGCCATGGTTCTGTGTGACAGAAAAAAAGTCAGAAAATAGCTGTATTATAGAGGGAGGGAACGGAGCCATGAGAAAGGCCTTTGTGCCACTTCAGCCCTCTCTTCATGGGCTCCACGGGCATTCAACAAATGAATTTGATTATATATGAAACTTCAAGTACGGTGAGTGAAGTTCTCACTACAGCTATTCTCTGAATGCCAGCATTCTATGAATAGCAAATGAATTTAGAAGCATCTTGGCTTGTGTACCACTTAGCTGTCAAATGAAATTTAGAGGCATCTCAGCTTGTCTACACGACTGCCTGTAAGAGAACATGGAGCTGATCCAACAGAAGAAAGGACCGGCTGCAGGTTCCCCCACCAACCCGGTTTTCAATAAAAAAAAGGGGGGGGCTAAATTTTCTTTGCTGGCAAAAGCAAATATGATGCCTGTGTCTTAAAGGAGGAAATCATATTAACAGTCCAGAGGTTGGATGCACGTGGAGGTGAAGTGGTAAATCATATATGGCCAACCAGATAAGAGCATGACTTAAAATAATTGATCCTAGCAAGATGTTCCACTTGAAATAAAATTTCAGGTCTTAAAGTCACTTTCAGTTAAATGGTGAGATTTGAATTTAGTATACAGTCACAATAATGCACTCCTAGAGGGAAGTAATTGCTGTGGGCGTGAAGGTGGGGCTGGGAAGTGAGCCTCGATGGCAGACCACTTGCCTAGCCTTCCCAGAAGAGCACTCACTTTTAGCTTACAACCTTGTGTGTCGTCCTGCCTTTTTTCAAGATTCATGGACATGGAACACAAGTTTCATTCAGGTTTTGTGACATGAGCAGGGAAATATGGGCTTCTCACATTTATTTCATTCCTAGACATCTTTTGGAATAAAAGTTTAGGGTGAGGTATGATGCTGGGTTGAAGAAGCCTTGTCTCTCTCTCTCTTTTTTTTTTTTTTTTTTTTTTTTGGTTTGTTTGTTTCTACCATTTATTACATATTTTCAGTGTCTGCAACCTTTCTTTTAAAAAAAAATGAAAGTTTTAGAAAGGAAACAAACTTAGAGCTTGCCTCCACAAGATTGGCACAAGGTCAAGTTCATCATTCCTGTGTGGGTGGGGGAAGGGCTGACAAGGCCCCACCCTGGCTGAGCAGCAGCTGACAGCTGATGCTTCTGGGGGAGGGAGAGTTGGTTTTTTTTGAGGTTGTGGACACTGGTAGGTCAGTACCAATGCATATGTGGGCAGCACTAATTGGACTCAGGTTTAAGCGGGAAAAAAATAATAAGAAATTGAGAAGGAGATTTGGAGAGGAATCCAGGAAGAAGTAGAATGAGGAATAGGGAGTAGATATGATCAAAACATGTTGTAAACATGTATATAAACCTCAAATGACATGTAAAATATGTGTTTTTAAAAAGGAAAGTAAATGTACTTCGATTCTGTGCTTTTGTGCATTTTTATTTTGAGTTGTATATATATATATATAATTTATTTTTAAATTTATTAATAAGTAATTTCAAGTTAAAATCATGGCTTTGTTAGTAGAGCTAAGTTACACATCCATCTTGAAAGGGGATTCAACAGAGGGGAGGTTGTGCTACTAGAACAATGAAGTATATGGTATGGTTTTATGGTACCTTTAATTTAGATTTTTACGTTGCATTTTTAAGCAAGTTGTATGTTTTCTAAGACTAAGTTGCATGCAGCTAAGCAGTATCTATCTGCTGAGGTTGATGAGTTTCAGTGAAGCCAGGAGCTATGTTTATTCCAGGCACATTTCATTAAAACAAGGAATTAAGAGCCATTAAAAAGCAAGAACAAATAGACGTGTTGACTGTTGGCTTTATGGGGTAGTCTGTGCATGGGAACATACAGGAGACATTTGCAAAGGAAATCAATGACACTTCTGGGAAGCATGCAGAGCTGGATGATGTAAGATCTCTTTATTTTACTCGTTTGACTGTTTTAAAAAAAAATCATGTATTTCACATTGCTTATCTTTTCAGACAGAATTCACAATCAGAATAAAAACACCTTGGAAATTGATTTTCATGGCGTTCTGTGCATATATGTCAGGGTCCATGTGTTTCTCCCTCTGGCAGCCTCTGAATGAACTGGTATCTGTTTTCAGGCGAGGGCATTAGTGGTGTATTTAGTAAGGAACTCTTCATCTTCATGTAAATGGTTTTGATTGAAGGCATGTTTGTCACTGCCTTCTAGGCAAACACATATGGAGCATCAGTATATAAATGTTTAATATCCCATCCTGGGGATTTTCTTATTCATAAGCAAATGTGTCTTCTAGTTCGAAGGGGGAAAGCAGGACCTGTTTAGTGGAATCTACTGAACTGAAAAGGCTCTAAAACTCTTAGCTTGTAGTGAAATATACAGTCTTCTGGCAGCTTTAAAATCTCACCAAGGAAAGGAAGCCATTATGATGTTGTTAGCAACTTTTAGACTTCCACAGAGAGGTTTCTTTATAATCCAGACATGAGGTGCTAAGATTAGCTTTTTAAATACTTCCTTCACTGACATTTCAGGCTTTGGATTAACTTAGAGGCGCCCCCTTGTTCTCCTCAGGTTCCCTGAATAGTGGCAGATGGTGTTTTCCCTATGCCCCATGTGAGGGCTGTGTTTACTCAGTCCTGCGAGTCATGAACCAGCTGACTTAGGGAGTCCAGCAAGCAAAGAGTTCCTTTGTTTCTTCAAAAGTTCACTTTCTCTGGAAATAGAATGATTTGCTATAAAAATAGTATGTCCAACTGGAACCATGAGAGAGAATCTTAACATCATTCACCCAGAATAGAAAAATGAGCTTTCTCATAATATTTAAAATTGGTAGACTAACAGACAGTCAAAAAGTTGCAGTTGAAATGAGTAACATCTAACATTCTGCTATATAACATTATACCTGTAGTAGTGTGCATTTTTATGTGCCTATCTCAGACTAGGGAGATAGCTCAGTTGGTAAACTTCTTGTCTCTCAAGCATGAGGACCTAAGTTCAAGTCCCAGAACACACACACACATATAATCTCTCTCTTTCTCTCTCTTTCTCTCTCTCTCTCTCTCTCTCTCTCTCTCTCTCTCTCTCTCTCTCTCTCTCTCTCTCTCTCTCTCTGCTCCCCCCCCCTCTGCAGGGATAGTGGTGTGTGCTTATAATCTTAGTGCTGGGGAGGTGGAGACTGGAGGCTCACTGAAGCCTGGTGAACTCCGGGCTAATGAGGGACTGTCTCAAAGGAGGTAGATGGTATCTTTAAAGGTGACATCTAAGGTTGTCTTACTGGCCTTTACATGCATATGGACCTGCGTGTGCATATGCCCACAATGGTGGGATGGGGTAAGACCTCATTAAGTGTTGTGGTACCATGAAAAAAATGAAACAGATCTTTAAAAAAGAGATGTACTGGTGTATACTATAATTTGTGTCAGGCAGAATTACAAGAAATATAATGAAGTTGACAGGTTCTGGGAACTCCTGGTCCTGGTCCTGTGGATGCTACATGGAGCCTGATGTTTTCCATGTGAGTCATTAGAGTGTTTGGTTTATTTAGGTGGGCAGATCAACAGAAAGCCCCATCGACTTTGTGGTTACAGACACCGTTTCTGGTGGGCAGAATGATGATGCCCAGATCACACAAAGCACCATCTCTAGGTTTGCCTGCAGGATCGTGTGTGACAGGAGTGAGCCATACACAGCACGCATATTTGCAGCTGGATTCGACTCTTCCAAAAACATATTTCTTGGAGTAAGTACTATTGTTTCAAACTCCCACCTTCTACTGTGATTGGTCCTTAATTTGGGAGGAAATTGCTTTGTGTGGAGGCAGTAGGTAGAGTTTTGGCATTTTCAGAAGGATAGCCTGAGAAGACGGTGGTAAAAACCGGAGGATAATGTTTGGCCTAGTACACAGCACTCAGGAGGGAGAAGCCAAGGGTTACAAGTTCAAGGTCAGCCTGTACTACATAGAGAGACCCTGCCTCAATAAAAAGAAAACAGTCTGCAGATTACTCAGTTATTGTTGTATTTGCTGTATCAATTATGTATACAACAATTATTTTTTAAAGAAGTGCATGTTAACATTATAATACATCTATGGTGATTTGAGAGGTTTATTTCAAAGGGGAAAATAAGTAGCCAAATTTAGACATTGGGAGCTTAGAGAAAATTGTTAGTGATATGTTCACTGAAAGGTGTTTGCTTTATTCCATACTGAGTGTGGTATGTGGTTATAGAAAACAGAAGCCCTGCTCTCGTAGGGCATCTTGATAAACAAACCCTATCTTAATACAAATACCTTTTGATTCAGACTATTGCTGTAGAGAGAACATTGTCCACTGTGATGTAAAAGATAATAAAAACATAGTGTCCCATATGGCAGGAAGTACTGAGGAAGGCCAGTCCAGCATGGTTGATGTGGGGTGGTCCTGTGACATTTTGGGTTGGGTTCTCCCTGTCTTGCCCACTGCTTCTCCTAGTATACCAGCCCCCCAGGGGCTTATGGGGAGGGGGAGGTCTGCCGCTAAGTGTGCACCTGCTGGCCAGCTGCCCGACATCTGCTGAGTGAGGCAGCTACCTGAGAAAGAGGAGGGTGTTAGGGAGGCTCTGCTTCTGGTACTTCTCAGGGCAAGCCACCTCCCTGCAGGCACATCCCCATCCCTTCAGCAGGGGCTGTTCCTATGGGTTTATACTAAGCAGGACTTTGACCTTTCCTGCCCTAACACATGCACAAAACATGAGCTCTACCAGGAAAGATGAGGGACATCTGAGCTGTGTAGCAAACAAGAATGTCTGTCCCATGACTGCCACCATCGCCAAGAGAAAGACAATGGTTTGCATGGAAACACACTAGTCCCCAAATTATTGACTTAACCTTTTTGAGTTTGTGCCTTTAATAAAAGTACTTTTTAGAATATTATTTTCCTTCTGTATCTAGGTATCTAGGTGGAACACTTTTTAGGTGCCTGGGTAAGAGCAGGCTTGACATGGATAGGGGACCTCAGATTGAAGTATTCGGGTACTAGGTATGTCTAAACTCCTGAGGAGGATGTAGTGTGTAGGCAGAGATGAACAACCATTAAGCTGCAAACAATTTAGCATCTCTCCTGCTGTCAGAGCAGCACACCGATCAGTGGTTATCAACTTTAAATAGAAAATGAAATCCCGTTTCTCCCGTCCTTTCCGTGTGTAGCAGGAGATGGCCAGGCCAAGGCGGGGCTGTTTTCAAGATAAGGTTTCTCTGTGTAGTTCTGGCTGTCCTGAAACTAGATATGTAGACCAGGCTGGCCTTGAATTCACAGATGTCACTTGGCTCTGCCTCCTGAGTGCTGGGATTAAAGGCGTGTGCCACCACCACTTGGCTAGCTTTCCATCAAATTGTAAGGAGACTCTGGAGTTCCCTCTTTGAGTGCCACCTTGACAGGCTTTTTCTGGTCTATGGTGGTGTTCTCCAGGAAAAGGCAGCAAAATGGAAAAACCCAGATGGACATATGGACGGGCTCACCACCAATGGCGTTCTCGTGATGCACCCTCGAGGAGGCTTCACCCAGGAGTCCCAGCCTGGAGTCTGGCGAGAGATCTCTGTCTGTGGAGACGTGTACACTTTACGAGAGACGAGGTCGGCCCAGCAGAGGGGAAAGCTGGTGAGTGGACTCTGGAAGCCTACGCAGTGCAGCTGTTTCAGGGTGACCATCACTCCACCACCCATGGAGCTCAGAGCCTTAGTGCAGGGTGGGGTGTGCCAGTCTCTGACCCAGAATCAGAGGGCCGTGACTGTCCCTCCTTAGAGATGGCCGTTCCTGTGTAAGTATGTTACTTTTCATCCTTTCTTAAGACCAAGATCATTTATAATATTTGTCGCTGAAAAATTAATCTTTTCAGTTAATGCTTTACTAAGTCAGAAAATCCTGAGCAGTGGGAGACAGTGAAATTTTTACATTAAAAATTTACATTTTCTAAAACTAAGAAATAACCAAGTTGTTATTTCCCCCCTTCACACCCTCTAGGGACAGGACAGGCCCCTTCATCTTAGAGTTAGCCCCCCCCCCCCCGTCTCCATGTCACTAATGAATACACAAGAAAAGCATTTTCTGAGAAAGGCCAGGCAAAGTCTGTTTTACTTAAATATTTTTCAAATTATAAATAGGAAAGGGATTTGAGAACAATTTCTTTACAAAAAAAAAATGTTTCTGATGATCCAGTGGCTTTATACAAGACTGGCTTAAATGAACTGGCTTGTGATTAATCATTCCAGCAGAAGAAGAAGACACAGCGGGTGTGGATGCTGTATTAGCATTCCTTACCAAGGTTCTGCTCATCCCTGCACCACAGCTCTCTAAAGGAAGCAGAATCACCCCAGCTGATCTAAGAAGGCAGGCAGCCCAGAAAAGTGAAGTTCCGCCCTGACTTAGAGAGTTAGAAGTTGGCCACAGCTGAGATTCCAACTCGGGTCATGAGTCCCACTCAGCGCTGTATCACAGGTCTGTGCTTGCCACTCTCCTGAGCAGGTTCATACTTGAGCGTTGGCCTACCTTTGTGAATAGAAGCCATACACTGGGCTGCTTGCTCATAGTAGCCACTGCCTCTAATTGGTACTCTGAAAAAGAGGCAGGCAAATTGTGAGTTCTGGGTCTGATTGGGCTACATCTTGAGACCCTGTCTCAAAACCCAAAGGGTGGCAAGACAACTCTTACCTAGCCTGTGCAAGGCCCACACTCAGTCCCCTGCAGGGAAAAAAAAAAAGAAGTAAAGCTCCCCTGAGGCCCATGGCAAGATGGTCCAGTGTGTCACCAGGTGGGTTTCTTATCCTCTCTGCTTGTGGTGATACAGCTTAAGGAACAATGTGTGGCATAGACTTTTGCGAAGGTTGCTAAAAAGATACAGCTCCAAAAAATGGCTTGTATTGATGGTAGTAATGTGTGGGTATGTGTTTCTGTGTATGTGTGTACATGTTTACATGTGCACACCTTGGGCACTGCCTGCCCTTGTCCAGCAAGTTAAGATAGCCAGTGATTCCCAGGGATCTATTGTCTCTGAGATTTACATGGCTTCGCCTGCTTACAAGGCAAGTGCTTTTCTACCTGAACTATCTCCCCCAGCCCAGACTAACTTTGAAATTAATGCCTGTCAATAAAGTAACGTGTCTTAGATCTATATGTAATATGGGCATCTTTCTTCCTCAAATCAAGATCTCAGGGTCTAATACTTTGTCTGTCACCACAGATACTCTTTGCTGTGGTGCATCCACACTTTGCCTAGAGAAAGAACCTGTGCAGCCTCCCTGCACCCCTCCAGTCCATGTGCTCTAGAGATGGATGTGAGCTAACAAAAGGCACACTGATTCTCTTGCCACCAAGACCTCCCACCCAGCTGTCCAGCCTGGGCCTGTTGCCTCCTGCTGTGCCATTACCCAGCGTTCCACAGCCTGTTCAGTTCCCAAGGATCCACTCCATGGTTAGGGTAATGACACCTGTCCGGTGTGCGATCTTACCACCCTCTTCCTGGCTCCTGACATCTTTTCCACATCTCCATTGAGGAAAAATCCTTTCAAAACTCTTTTCTGACCTATTTTCATCAACGTGACAGTGACCACCAATGTTTACTGTGTGCCAGGCCTTCTAAGAATTCCCTTTGTTTTAATTCAACCCTCACAGCCCCCTTCTACATTCTGAAGAAAGGGAGAGTACGGGACAATATGCTCCATTTACCAACCCAAGGTCACACAGCTGTAAGTGACAGAGCTGGGCCCATAACAGACCAAAAGCCCCGGAGTCTCCTGTCAGCCGCTGAGGGTCAGTAGCCAGCCTCACAGTGCTGCATTGACCTCAGTTGTCTCCAGGCATGCCTGCCTCCCACTCCTGAAGAGTGCATTTCCGTTTTGTTAGACTTGCTCCCTCACACCTTAGTATGTATGCACCTGGCGCAAGTAGAGGTGGGCCGAGTCCTGCTGACGAGGCCCAAACCTGCTGCTAGTCAGCTGGTAATCACCTGTGCAAGCACTTGGTGCATAGCACAGACAGAAGTCCTGTGAAAACAAAGGCTTTTCCTTTTCGTGAAGGCCCACCTCTGACCCGTGGGAAAACAGAGGAAGGCAGGTTGAGACATGTGCAGCTAAGGGTGGCCTGGAGTGTTGGCTGCTGCCGCATTGACGCGGCACGGGCTCTACTCAAGGAGGAGCATGGGTCTTCAGGCGGCGCATCCGTCATAAGGTGTATGGGTGTATTACCAACATAAAAAGTTAAGTAAAAGTGTAATGTGTATGAGATATTTAGAGTAACCACTGCACTAATCAAACTTAAAAGGCTCAGCTTTGTGCTGTTAGCGTTGTACCCTGGACATAATGTGTATTGAGGCTCAGGGAGAGTAGATGCCAATTCCCATGTCTTGTTTAGTCAGGTATGTGACCACCCAGAGTCTTCTGTTTTTTCCTAAGGAAAGGATGTTGGGGTGTCTTTGCCCCGATAGTTTGCAGGATTTTGCTTTTAATGGTGTATCTGTTGAACCTATTGTAGGTGGAAAGTGAAACCAATGTCCTGCAAGACGGCTCCCTCATTGACCTGTGTGGGGCCACTCTCCTCTGGAGAACCGCAGATGGCCTTTTTCACACTCCGACTCAGAAACACATTGAGGCCCTCAGGCAGGAGATCAATGCAGCCCGACCCCAGTGTCCTGTGGGCCTCAACACCCTGGCCTTCCCCAGCATCAATCGGAAGGAGGTGGTGGAAGAGAAGCAGCCCTGGGCTTACTTGAGCTGTGGCCATGTGCATGGCTACCATAACTGGGGCCATCGGAGTGATACGGAGGCCAATGAGAGGGAATGTCCCATGTGCAGGACTGTGGGCCCTTATGTCCCGCTGTGGCTGGGCTGTGAGGCGGGATTTTATGTTGATGCTGGACCCCCAACTCACGCTTTTACCCCCTGTGGACACGTGTGTTCAGAGAAGTCTGCAAAGTACTGGTCTCAGATCCCACTGCCTCATGGGACTCACGCATTTCATGCTGCCTGTCCGTTCTGTGCCACACAGCTGGTTGGCGAACAGAACTGCATCAAACTGATTTTCCAAGGTCCAGTGGACTGACAACCCTGGACAGCCATCTATGTGTTATTAACAAGTTACTGTGAAGATTTTGCCACTAACTCTAGATTCTACCTTTTTGTAATGCTGTTTGTTAAGGGAAAGGCAGGCTGGGTTGGGGGAAGGGGATTTGGGGGGGGGGAGTCTTGTTATGAATATGGCAGGATTTGACAGATACCACTGTGTTTTGCATGCTCAGAACAGCAGCAGCATTGTTGAGGTCTGCCTGATTAAACCTTAATATCTCTGTGATAATTGGATTTCAGCTACCAGACTTTTATTTTTTTTATTTATTGTTTTATTTTTTATTTTTTTGTTTTTTGTTTTGTTTGTTTGTTTTTGTTGTTTTCCAGACAGGGTTTCTCTGTATTGCTTTGGAGCCTGTCCTGGAACTCACTCTGTAAACCAGGCTGGCCTCAAACTCACAGAGATCTGCCTGCTCCTGCCTCCTGAGTGCTGGGATTCAAGGCGTGCTCCACCAACGACTGTCTGAGAGGGTCATTTTTGTTCACTACCTTCCCACCATCTGTCGCCATCCCTTTCAGGTTAAGGAGCCCCCTAAGTTTTGAAAATGTTTCCAAATCTAACTGAATTTAAATGTAATGGTGAGATACATACAACACAGAACATCTATGGCAAAAGGGAGTGTTCACTCAGAGAATACATCAGAATCCCATAGGAGTGTTCACTCAGAGAGTACATCAGAATCCCAGAATGTTCACTCAGAGAGTACATCAGAATCCCATAGGAGTGTTCACTCAGAGAGTACATCAGAATCCCATAGGAGTGTTCACTCAGAGAGTACATCAGAATTCCAGAATGTTCACTCAGAGAGTACATCAGAATCCCATAGGAGTGTTCACTCAGAGAATACATCAGAATCCCAGAATGTTCACTCAGAGTACATCAGAATCCCATAGGAGTGTTCACTCAGAGAGTAAATCAGAGATCCATAGGCGTGTTCACTCAGAGTACATCAGAATTCCAGAATGTTCACTCAGAGAGTACATCGGAATCCCATAGGAGTGTTCACTCAGTACATCAGAATTCCAGAATGTTCACTCAGAGAGTACATCAGAATCCCATCGGAGTGTTCACTCAGTTACATCAGAATCCCATAGGAGTGTTCACTCAGAGAATTATATCAGAGTTTCATAGGGGTCGTGCTATCCCTCTCTGTTAGTTTCATTTTGTGTTGATTAATAATTCCTCAATACTCATTTTCTGTGTTAGATGTCAGGAGTATTGTAGCTCGAAGAATGTAGAGACTGTTGGGCTTTAGCTACATCCTACCCATTCCCAGGGAGAATGTCTGCAGTTAACCTAACATCTGTTTAAATGGACCATTAACAGATTTGGGCTGCCTGGTTTAGCTTTTGTAAATGTGTATAATTTATGTGAGTCTGATATACTATGTCCATACTTGAATTGGTTTTTCCATATTTTGCCTATTAGCAGGTATTTTGCCTATTTTCAGCAATGTAACCCTATTTGAGTACTTTTTCTTAAAAGCAAAAAGTATATTAATTACTCTTTAATGCCGCTGCTGCTTAATTCGACTAAAGTGTGTTGGATTTGCCTGTCAGTTTTAAAATAGCTTTATCTACCCATGGAGACCATTTTGCAGGAAGAGGGATTTTTTGTTTTAATTTATGATATAGAAAAACAACAGTCTTCTCTCTGCTAGTTTCCTAAATTCTATGTAGATTACCTACAGACAAGGAAGGAAGGAAGGAAGGAAGGAAGAGAACTTTCTAGAAAAACCTTTTGGATGTCGTCAGATGGCAGCTAGAGAAGGATAAAGGGCACACTCTTTCCTCCTCTTGTTACATGGAGATAGTTTGGGGATTCTTGATATCCTAGGATTATGTTCTGTGGTAAAGGGTGTCACATCCAGAGAGGTTGAATTTCAATTATGAAAACAGCTTTTATTTTTTAAGTATATTCCACTGATACCAGACTTCTATCTGTCAAGGACATAGAAGTCTGCTAGTTCTTGCATGGCACATGCCCCTAAACAAGGGAGAATGCGACCTTCAGAATCCATGGCATTGCACACTCAGATAGCGCAAGTGCAAGTTGCAACTCGGGTAATAGTAATAAAGCACACGTTCTTCAGCGGCAGTAGGGACACCTTTATCGGTTTCCTTTGGTTTCCAGGTAAGGTGCCCCTTCCACCTTGCCGGGGGGCTGGCAGTGGTGTCATACCTGCAAGGGAAGTCGTGCTGATTTGGACAACCTCTGATAGCATCATGTTGTGCTGAGGGAAGGGTTTTAAGTTTGAAAGTAATTTAGATTTTAGAATAAAGAACTAGTTCATCCATGTAGAATGATAGAGATGAGAAAAGGAAACTCCCCCAAGGTCACTTCTGTTTTCATGCTTGGCTTGTTACCACATGTAAAAAATGAATCCCAACCCCACCCCAACATGTACATAAAGAAATCACAACCACTTGCCCTGGTCTGGTCTCAGCCTGACCAGTTTGCCTTTTGCAAATAAGTTTCCAGGTGTAAAACATGCTTCCATAGATAACAGATTTTTTGTTTTTTGTTTTTTTTTTTTTTTTCCTTTTTCAGTTCTTTGTGTCAGTACATTACAAAAACAATCAGAGTGAACGGGACACATCTCTGAGTATTTTTCTAGTGTTTTTTATTATTAATCTGTGCTGCTGGGTCAAGCACACTGCAGCTGTCCACATTCTCTGATTTCGTTTGGCTTTTTGCAAAAAGGGCTACAGTTCACACTGCAGAGTAAGTATTAACCTTTCTGGATTCCCCTCCCCCCCACACACACACTTCTGTGGCCCAAAAGAATTTAAAATGTTTTAATATAAAGAGAGCATATTTATATCATTCCTCAATAGTTAATTATAGGGTTTGGTACCTTTGTGCCTCAGGGAAGCCACGTGATGTAACTGGTTATAGACTTTCAGGGTTAGGGTGTAGAGAAAGGAGAAAGCCATTGGAAACCGTGATGGGCTCCATTGAGACAATTAACCTAGTGCAGAAGTATGCCAGGACTGGTGTAATGTGATTGTAGTAGAATTTGTTTCCCAGGACTAGTAGGGAAATCATCTTAAGTTATTACATATGCTGTATTAGGTGAGTTGAGAACTCTCCATAAAGCATTGGTGTCTCTTATTTTTGCTTACCAATCTCTGTTACTAGGAGCTCAGTGTTGATTCTTGGACACTTTTTAAGAGTTTAGGGGACACGTTTTCTTCTTAAGTGTACTAAAGATTGTTCCGTGGTTTCACTCAACGTCTTTTCTTCAGAACTGGTCTTTTCATTGGATGTGCATGAGAGGTGGACAGTCACACCTCTGTGTGCTGTCCTCATGCAGGCTTGCCTCTCACAGTGGAAATGCAGACAGACAGGCCCCCCAGGACCTTGATTTCTAGCCAGATGTGGTTCTGTTCCCTTGACTGTCGATCTTAAGATCCCATAGTTCTGCCTTTGTGGACTAAGGGCCCGAAGCTCCTGCAGTGGTGGTGAACACAACTCCAGTTGCTGAGTTAGGATCCAAGGCTGATGCGATAACTTGAGAATATTTTTAGAAGAAGCTAAGCATTACTGAAGAGGTATAACGAAGTTCTGTCTTGTCCTTTTAGTAATCTGTTCTCACAAGTGTCTGGCCTCATGACTCCCTAGTGAGCAGTAGAGAAAAGCAAATATATTTTCCAGTTCAGCTTAACTTTCTAAACAAAAATCAGCTGAAAGGGATGTTCTGTCTTTTAACCTGAGATCACAGATTGCTTCTCTGTATTAAATAATCCAGAAGTTATGGGGCTGGTCATATTTACCATGTATAGTGTTTAAGCGTTAAATTTTATGGCTATATTTGTAAAATTTGTTCTTTTATATTTCATGTCAAATTGAAAATTTTATTTCTTCACTGTTGTACCTGTGGAAATACAAGCCATTTTACAGGAAAAAAAATATTCAAAAGCTATTAAACAAATCTCACCATATTTCTAATTTGTCTTGGACTCTGTTGTTAGCACCTGCTTCATTGGGACATTCAGTAGGACGAGGATACAAAAGTAGACTTGATTTGTACATTTCCGAACTTCCACATGAATCCCAAACAGATGGGTGTATTGTTGTTTTATACTCTGCACACTGCATACTTAAGTCTATGTTCTGAAAAGTCCCCAGTTTTTTTTTTTTTTTAAATAAAGAAACTCCATTGGTGCTCATATTACTATCTCTTGTGACATTTTATCACTGTCAAATAAATGTAACTTGTAGGAGAATTTAACCTGGCTTTTAGAATTAATGGGTTTTCTTCATGATCATTATAATTGCATTACTACTTTTATGGTAGCCTTAATTCCTTTTTAACAGCAAATGGTGTTATGTAAGCCTTCAAGTCTTAAGCTAGTGTGTCTATCATAAAAATATATTTACATTTGTAGTAGGTTTTTTTTTTCCCTAGGCACATTGATATCCAGGGATTATTACTATTGTTGAGAGAAGTAGTCTTTGTCTTTCATTTCAAAAAAAAGAATGGAAACATAGCCTTTTATACAGGAGACAAGTGATCCAGTTTTATCAAATTTGAGGTGTCATGAATTGTAAAATGTGTTTCTATAGTCCAACAGCCAGTTATATTTGTAAGGTATATCCTACTCAGCAAGTATGCTGGAGTTCATTCAATGTGGGGAAAATGGTGTTTTCAGCCAGTGGATAGGGGACCACTGGATATGTACATGCAAAAGAATGAAATTAAGGTCCCTATCTCTAACAGTGTGCAATAACAACAACAACAACAACAACAACTCAGTGGGCCAAAGAGCAGAACTGTAGAGCTTAGAAGAAAGCATAAATTCTGGTGTCTTTAAATTAGTCTTTAAATACTACAACACATGAAAAGCAAAAGGAAAGAATAATGAACAAAATGGAGTTCATCAAAATTAAAAACAGATGTATGAAATGAAACTGTCATAAGTGAAAAGATGACACATAAAATTGGAGTTAATATATGGTGGCCGCAAGTATCATGAGAACATTTAATCAGTGTAAGAACTTACAAGTGTAAGAACCAAAAATATCAGTTTGGTTTTTTCCAGAAAACGTACATAAATGTCCAGTAAGCACATGTAATGTGCAACGGTATTAG